ATGTGATTGCGATGACATCAAGATTTCATGGACGGAATGGCTGTCTGTTGTCAGGCAGTCCCCCAAACTGCTGTTCCTAGAACTGCACTCTAAGGGACAGCGATCTCAGATGTCCCACCTGGAATCTGTTGAAGCCAAACTTGTCAGTCACAGCCCCAAGGGCTTCTATCACACCGAGAGCACTACTGTCTTCACTTTCCACATAATTTCTAGCTCTTCTTACTTTTATACTTGGGCTAGCAGTTGTGCCCCTCCAGGTCCGCGGTCTGAATAATGGCTTGGCACTCACACCCCCCGGTGGGCTGGCTGCACTGGGAGAGATTCCTGTGTGAGACAGACTGTCAGAAAGAACCTCAGAGATGCATAAGGTGATACAAATATTCTGTGTTAAAAGGGAAAAAAGAAATGTGGAAAAGGGGTGAGGGATTCCCAACTTTGGCAAAGTTAACAGCTAGGGCATGTGGACTCTGTCAGTTAAAGGGGTGTTAAGATGCTGTAACGCTGGCTATGACGCAAGTGGCCAACTGGCCTCTGCCCACCAAGTACCCACAACTCCATGCCGGGGAGCACAAGGGAGATCGGGGGTTACGGACACCACCTTAGCAACCTGGGACATACACGACAGAGCTGGACCCCAGAAGCCACCAGGTCAGGTGTTTATGGGTGGGCTACTTGACTAACTCAGGTACTGACCGACACAAGGTCAGGTAACTGGCTAGTCTTCCCTTGGGTGGGGTGGGGGGGAGGGAAGAAATGTGACAAATTTTTCATTTTGCAAAAAGTGTAGATTTCAATAGAAATTTTAACTTTTATAAATTAAATCTTTCAAGCAGACAACTGGTCATGTTACTTCCTGGTTTGGTTAGCTCAGTGGAGCTAAACCTAAGAGGCAGCAATTTCCCAGAGCCCCTGTTTTGAAAAGACTTTTCATTGAGTTGCATTGGGAAATCAATGATAGGACAGCTACCCAAAACCTGAGTGAATTAGAAGGGGAGGGTTTTCTAAGGCTGCAGACAAGAGAGGTTTTGCAAGCTTTTTTTTTTTTGGTATACCCCAATTAAAACTGTCATATGTACCAAATTTACCCTTAGCATCACTGAAATACTAAAACTATACAGACAATAAGAGGGCAGTGATTGGATGTGGGAGCAGAGTCAAATTAGAAGCTCCGCTCACATGTATCTATCATATGCTGAGCTGCACGGTTTACCTTGCAATCGCCTTGTGAAATGTGGAGTGGCAATAGGGTGGAAAACAGAAAAACATTTTTCTTTTTTTTAAACGCAAACTGAAGAGATTTGAACAGGGAGAAAACATGTCAAATGCTTTTAAATGTATGCTTTTCATTTTCGGTATATCTACTAAACAATTATTTTTATTATTTTATATTTGGGCAGTGGAGTGCCACTTTAAACAAATTTGTTTCTCTTGAAGACACAGGAAAAATGTGTTGGTTGAGGGGGAAGTGGTGGTCTTAGTTACACAGTAACTGTCCTAATCTGCACCGAGACCTTCCTGTTACAGCTACTTCTAGCACAGCAGCCTACTTCCTGGCTCTAATACACTAATGTACACCATAGAGCCAAGCGTTCTGTTTAGAGCTCAGTCTTTTTGTTGTGACTTATTTGTGTCACCTCACGCTGTGATTGGTGGAAGCTGTTTTCTTTAGTAACATTCGGCGGCCAATAGGGCAGCTTTCTTGTGACCATTTAATAAAATCCCGGAAGCGGCAACTGTTCTAAACGTTCGATCACTGGATACATAGTTTCGCTGTAGCCACTGCTTCCTCATTACTTGCAATCAGGCTGTAGACTAACAACAAGACGTGATGTGGCTGCAAAGACTGCTATCAGGGGCATGGCCCCTTACTTTTATACTTGGGCTAGCAGTTGTGCCCCTCCAGGTCCGCGGTCTGAATAATGGCTTGGCACTCACACCCCCCATGGGCTGGCTGCACTGGGAGAGATTCCTCTGTGAGACTGACTGTCAGAAAGAACCTTGGCGATGCATAAGGTGATACAAATATTCTGTGTTAAAAGGGAAAAATAGAAATGTGGAAAAGGGTATGAGAAGGGGTGAGGGAGTCCCACCTTTGGCAAAGTTAACAGCTGGGGCATGTGGACTCTGGCAGTTAATGGTGTGCTAAGAGAAAAAAAAAAAATCTTAAACGATGTGTAATAGATCATCGTGAAACATGGTAAAACATGAATAAATAACATCAACAAGGGATAATACGTTTTTGAGTTTGGTGCATCTGAAGCACCATTTAGAAATGCAGATTTTTGATCAGGGAG